CAGCCTTATACTTCGTCTCGGTCTTTATGCTTCGAAAAACTCCAATGTAGAGCGATACGAACAAATTGTCTTTTTTGCTCATCCTTCCCGCCAGGTTTTCCGTTCCTCATGGTGTTTTCATCGTCTGTGGCTACCTCTGACTTAACACCTTCATTGCCTAGTCTCTTAGCCCCATTTTTTCAGTAACACATTTGTCTCGAAAGCGGAGCTCTCAAATGGGGTAGTGATTACCTTCCTTGCTCATAGGTGATTGAAGACATGTTTCGCGATGGCTAATTAAAGACACTTTCCGCGATGAAGTGATCAGCAAAATGCCTGTGTGTATTTAGCACTCGCAGAGAGCATACCACTTTTGTTACTCGGAATGGTTAGATAACGAAATGAGAGACGCGTGAGTTCTGCGAACGGTGCAACAACGTACTGTAGCTCTCGAAGAAAACGACTTACAAGCGGAAGTGCGTGCGTACATTGTTGCCTGGAGCGTCGTAGTTCGATTTCCTATGCTCTTGCCGTGAATTGGTTGCACCTAGAATCCTGCTCATCGGGCTTGCCCTTATATGAATTCATCCAAGGCGAAAGGCCCATTGCTAGGGGTGGGGTGCTCACGGTGTTCCCAGGCTTTTCCGCTTCGATCCCTACTGATGAGTTTCTGATGGGCTGTCACTGGTGATGAGTAAGCCTCCGCTACTTGTTACGCTCGATCGCGCGGATTGTCTTTAAACACATAGAAAAACTGCCTTGCACAGGTACTTCAGTCCGAGTCGTGGGTTGTCCTGTCTCTGAGAGTGTCCCACTTTTGAGATTCTGATATCGAATGGCAAGGGGTGCTATCGTCATCATATGGCTGAATGAAAATCGCCAATGGAAGGTGCCCCACCCATCTGGAGACGAGATACGCCTGTGGTCCTCGATTTGTAAGCAAAGAAGTGAATCCTAGCGTCCATCTGTACTTGATTCGTCTTCTTCTTCCTTCCAGCTTCTCCTTGCTCTCTCATGATTTGTTTTGGTTACTCTCCCGCGCAGGCAGCGTCTTGTTCTTTCAAATGACCGTCCAGCGTGGGCCCTTATTGGGAAAGCCCCCAAACCCCTTGTTTACTTTTTTTCACTGGTAAATCAGTTAGCATCCACGACATCATTTGAGTTACAAGTTTTATGTTGAAGGTGTACTTCCTAGATAACAGCTCAACTTCTTAACTTCAGGATCAACTTGCGGATGTCGGCACTGAAATTCTGCTCGGTCCCGCGAATGTCATTGACTTCGACTACGTGCTTTCTCAAGTGAGTTTGGATAAACCTCAGATTGGAGTACGTCCGTCTTCATTTTATACAAGAAGAGACTCACCCCAGGAGAAATAGGCGAACGACGCTACCAACAAAATGGTTCAAATGATGAGCGCTGCTTGGCGGTGTCTTTCACCTAAAGCCTAAACGTCAATCAAAAGCCATACTAACCCTTTTGTGGTTTTGGCTACGCGTTTCTTGGGAGACCTCTTTGACGAATATGTCAGTTGCGAATATGAATCATATCCCGGCTTCTTCGTCACTTCTTCAGAAAAAGAGAAGCATTTCTCGGAAGATTCAAAGGGGGGAAATGAGCAAGTAGACAGCAAGAAAACTAAAAAGGATAAAGGACAGACTGTTGTTTACTTTCCTAT